GCATCATGAGACGCATGAGAGCAACCTCATCACAACCTCAATTCCCTGTTCAACCAATAACTCAACGAGCTTGATACGTGTTAGCCCTTGATAGAGGCCATTGTGATAAGCCTTCATAGTCAACCAACCTGTCGGCCATATGAGCGCGAGTATCTCCAATGAAATCGTTCCTTTGAGATCATGAGATGCATTTATGAGCTCTAAAAAGGCATCTCCATCTGACCAAGCCCCTTTTTATATATTTCTAAGAGCCTTAGTCATTGTTGGCCCAGCTTTGAACCAGAGGCCGCCATATCTAGCCAGTCTATGGATGTAGAATTCGTCACTTACAAACAGAGGATGAGAGCAGTTGTTGGCCTCTATGTAAGCCGCAGTAGTGCATTTGCCACCGAGAATCCCTTCTACCCATAAAAAGAACAGCTTGCTAGTATCTCCTACAAATTCAGGGCTTTTGATTGGAACAATCGACGGAGGTGACAAGATTAGCAGATCGAAGACTGAGGAAACACTGATGAACTTGGAACTACATAGGAATTCTGATTACAGCGGAAGACGAGGCGATCTGAATAGCGAGAGGTGCTATGTAGTCATCATTCTCATAAATTCCTATCACATTGGCGTTCCTCAGACTCCATACTCATCCTCAAAGATGATCTGTGCTCTCACCCTCCACTCCGTATCTTGCAAATCATGGAGATTCATCCACATTTCGTCCGAATTACTCAGCCGAACCTTGACTCGTCGTCGCCCCCCTTCGGTAAGTACGACTCTGATAATCTCCTTGATCTCGGGTTCGTCCAGCACGACCACTTCAGAAGCTGCTTGGACAGCGTAGATCACTTCTCCTTTACAACACGGGCATACTACCGGATCCTCTGGGAAAACCAAGACGGAGCTGACCCCAGATCGACGTAACTCAAGCCTTTCTGAACAAGTGAAGCACAAGGTGTGTCCGACGAGAGTGGTAGAGGCATTCGTGCAACAAGCAAAGAAGACAATCGAACTCTCGTCTTCCAAGCATACCATGCAACTTTCCTCCCAGCCGTATTGACGTACCATCAGGCGGCCTTTCCTACTCTCAGACTCTCCACAAGAGTCGCAAAGAAGCTATGATTTCATCAGCGAAGAATCTTGCATATTAAGGTAGCCATACAAACACCGAATTCAAGCGACGAAGCTTCGGGCCAGGGTTGAGATGCTTCAGGCATTGCCCACATCGCTTCTGCATCGTGTTCTCAGTGTGGTGCATGGTTATTGAGGCGTAAATTCTGTAGTTGTAGTAGATTTGTTGCGATAGGTGGTCCAGGCGAGGTGTATAAAAGGACAAAGATGGATGAGTTAAGTTCGGGGGGGCAGTCATCACTTATATACACGTCGACCGACGACGCTATATCACGAGACAGATATATCACGAGCTCGTGTCTACATCCGGAATATCAATTGTTGCGACTTGGTGCATCTCTATAGGAGCTGGAGAGAGAGGCAGTCGGTATGCTCGACGACGTTGTGGCAATGCCCACCTATCAGTATTGCCATCCTCCACAGAGTGGCGTTCACTGATGCGCGGCGATAAAGAGATAAGATTCTCGCTATCTGTATGTGAAGTGTTAAAGCCATCGTGCTTGTTAGACTATACGGCTGTTACGCTACTGTGTGCATCTTACACTTTTGTAGGTGTACATTGGGATAAGTGATAAAAATAGTGTCGGGAGAGTGTCTCGTGGTATGAGGGAGGCACTCGATCTGGGTGTGATAAATGACAGTGACGCCCTTGTCTACGCCGGCTTCGGTTGAGGGAGACAAGGGCGTCGGTATCATTTCAAAGCTGGTCTCTACGTGAATTTTGTGTCACCCTTGTGGCAGAGGGTGATGAACCAGAGCCGCCGAGAGTGGTGGCGTTGCGCAAAAGCCCCATGTGTATCTCACTCCGGTTCGGAAATGCCTTCACAACGTCAACCGTCACGCCAGACCCAGAGGCTGCTTACGTAGTAATGGCTGCAAGCTTACCATTGGATGCTCCAGTAATCTCATCGAGTCTAAGTATGCCTGCCTTATGCATCATGAGACACATGCGAGCAACCTCACTACAACCTCAACTCCCTGTTCAATCAATAGCTAGACGAGCTTGATACGTGTTGGTGGCCTCGACGCGAGCTTACAGTTCAGCCGGCCAAGTAGAAGACCAGGAGTAAGTCACTTATGTCATAGTCCCTCTACCTCAAGTGATTGCCCGTGTTCTCTTTGCCACTGCCGTATACTACTCAAGGGCCATTCCCCCTCTTCTTTTTACTCCTAACTTCCTCTTCTATTACAATCAAAACGCTAACAATTTAGCTTAAAGCCTTAACCACACATCATCCTGTTTTATCTCTCCATAATATCTTATTTACATCAGTCTTCTAGCTTTGCAGCTGAGTCTCTTGTTGACTTGGCTCAGAGCATACTTAAGTACCTCTCGCTTCTGTTTATAAGACGGGGACTATTACCATCGATAGAGCTGTCTATATGCTCGATGCCTTTTGTCTTGACCATTGCCACGTCCTGTTCTACTTTCCTCTTGGCGAGACTTGACTAGAGGTCTCTCTGCTAAGCTAGGCTGTATTTAAAGGCCGAAATAAGGTTGTCTATGCACTTATTTGCATTTCAAAGAAAAGTTAATAGCTTTAAGATCATCTTAATAATGCTCTTTTCTTAGCCCACTTTGTCAACCACAAAGACAAGGCTAATTTGCTACTGGACTTTGGGGCAAATCCAGGACGAAAATTTCTATCTAATGGCTTGTATGGTGCTACTAGGCAATGACAGATACCTTAAATAAAACTATATGTCAAAGACTTCAGAGCTCCTGTTAATATTAAAGATGTGGATTCTGCAAAACCGGTCATATATGCCATGTAGCTTAAGTATCTGTCTAATTCGGAGACTATCTCACTTCTCTTTTCATTAGGCGCGCATACACGGCTTGAATCTGGTGATAAGAGTTGGAATTATGCCTAATATGCATTGGTTATGGAGAAAAGGGATCTGGCAGAATGATTGGAAGTAAAACGGCATGAAGCAGAAGCTTACTGCACGAACTACTTCAAGTCATGAATCAAGTTGCACGATTGGTCAGGACTAGTAGCATGTTTCAGACATTACTTTCCTTTCGCTAGGTAGCTATGACTTATCTACTATCAATTTACAGGGTGACTTGCGTTCGGAAATATATACCCCAAGGAGTACTTCTTGTTTACGATGAAACATTCGCAACACTAGTCATCTACTCCATAGACCTGGATTCTCCTCATGTTTGGTATGCTATCGACTATCTCTTCTACAATCCATGAGGGTTAACTCATTACTATGACCGAAACTATTGAGTGTCTCTTTAGCTTGGGAGCAGTTCCTATTGTTGCGTGGGGTGAACCTAGTTGGACTCATGCCAATACGCGATGGAAAGAGGGATCTAGCGGGGCGACTTAAAGCAGCAGCAGCAGTACTTGATTCACCTGATTGGGATTCAAGCCGTACATCAAGCTACACGGTTGTGGAGGATCTATCCTGGGCTAGTGGTAGATGAGTTACTTATATTGATATGTGTATTGGCGTAAGCCAACCAAAAGACTTGCCTCTTTTGATCATCAGCCTCTTTTCTATTCGTCATTGGCTCTCCACTAATGGTAATGCTAGTGCCTGCATTCTGTGCTAAGACGCGTAGACCAATAATGCAAGCCGCATTCCACGAGTTAGAAGACCTGGTGCTACATTCTAACTCAGAATCCGAGTCAGTTTCAGACTCAGTGTCAGTTTCAGGTCTTGACCCAGCATTAGGTCAAGGATAATATTTGAAGGGCTATTCGCAGCCTTCTCTAGCCGCGGTACCCAGGTCTCGTTAGCGCCTCCGCAACTTGAGAAGAAGAGAGCCTCAGAGCCCGTCTGCTTCTGCTTCTTATAGAGCTTAGCCCTCTTACCTGTACCATCGTATATGTCTTGATTAAAATCCTCCTCGGTAAGATAAAGGTTATCGTCTACCACAGTTGAGATCCACCTCCCGTTCCGATAAAAGACAAACCCATATACAGCGCAATCCTCATCACGAGCGACACAAATCTTTTCCATTAGTTGCTTTCGAAGGCGTACAGATGCCAACGCTGCAAGCCACCAGCAGTTTCCACAGGTTCCCTGCTTGATATCCGAGATGAAGTCATTAGCAACAAATTTGGGGTTTTCAAAAATCCACGGTACACGATGAACCGAGCCTGGTTTTGCGCATTGTTCCTCGTCATCATCGTCACAGGCTCTTTCAATGCCAAATAGACAACTGTGGTCGTAGCTGGCGAAATCCTGCTCAATATCAAATTCCGGGTCACTGAATTTGATATTAATTCGCTCGCACTCTTTGATGATAGCCCAAACATCAGATCGGCATTTGTTGGCGGCTTCTTCGTAACTCAAGGCTTTGGGCGTAGGAGAAGGTAATTCGCTGGCTGCGAGTGATTCGTAAAGTATGGGAGGTAATATAGAACTGACTTTACGGGGAGACTGAGAATGATAATCGGACCAAATTTAGAAACAAGACTCTGAGGGCTGATAGGTTCTAGCTCTACCTGCTCACTGTTACGTGGGACAGAGAGAGATAATTGGGGCGTTCATGTTATTGCTCGACATGCCTATATCATTCAGTTGAGAATGGGAAAACACAGAGGGTTTGAGGAGGTTTGAGTGATAAATAGCGTATCGCAATAGGGTTGGAATCCTAAAAGCACGAGCCATATGCTTTATACTAGAAAGATGGTCAATTGATCCATATGGTAGTTGCATCAGCCACTGGCTAAAAACCCGGGAGAGTGTTAAGGCCAGAAGTGGGAGGTGATGACTGAGTGATTTTCCAAAACCAGCATTCTGTTCAGTGTCCAAATACGATTTTCTGTATCCAAGTACTTGTTCTGCCGCTCTGGACCGCCTAAGATTGTCTAAAACTCTCTTGGCAGATGGCCTACCCTATAGCTCTCAAGCCTCAGCGACCCCTACCAGCAAATTGTATATGTATTACGTCAGATTAGTTGGAGGTAGTAATAATGGGAAGGCAGGCTCTGTTGGGTTAGTTTTTTCTTAATCTTGAGTGATTATTCAGGAAGGTAGAGTTGGCAACTGCTGCCTAGAACAATTTTCTGAAACCAGCATTCTATCGACAGTGTCAGAGCACTGTTTTTTGAACGCAACTTTGGTCATTCTGCCATTCCAGACCGCCTGTGATTACCTACTTGATAGGTCTCACTTACCCGAATTTGGCCAGCCATCAAAGCGCCAACTGACCTGGCGACCTTGAAATCAACCTCGATAAGAAACCTCTTCAACTCGACACGCGACAGTCAGACGACAACAATCCTAGCCTTTTGTCGAAGGCTCAAAGAAACTTATAGTGCTTAATGCCCTTCTTCCCATGGTAATCTATGTACCGCAAAGACAACAACGTGATCGTAGGTGGTCAGTCAGTGTAATGTCACTGTATGTTGGCATGGTTGCACTGTATGCTCTTGAGCCTTTCCTTCTGTTGGCGCTAGGAAAGTTTGTTGGCTGCGGCCTCACCACCATCATTTAATCGAACTCGCCCGCATCGAGGAACGCTCATGTGAAATATCCGTTCATCACATCCAGGGTGTGTGGATTCTCAAATCAGAAATCACATAAAAGCTCATTGATTTTTGCACATTTCAGACTCATGGACCTAGAGGAGATAGTGTGCACTACGTGCAAAGTAAGAGTTGAGCTACGATCATTATTGAGAACAAATGGCAATTGATAGGTGAGGTTGCATGCTCAGGATGGAAATACAAATGGTGTCTGTTCAAGGCTTGTGCGCGTACAACAAGGATAAGTGTACCAGGATCCTGGCCAAGTGAACTCGCTTACTGGTGAGCTCACCCCGAGTTCACGAGCTATGTGGGCCCAGCTTTTGGAGAGCGAGGGTTCAACGGGCATGTTCCCATATGAAGATTGTTGGTCGAGACAACGGAAATGCTCAACCTGGGGTATAAAGGAGTAGCAACCCATCACCTGCATGAGCATGGCAAACGAGTACACATTCTCATAAGAAATATTCCTTCTACTCATGGTAGCGTCGATCTTGCCAGGCATTTATTAAGCGAGCGATTATATCCCGCTAATCATGATTAACGGACAGAGGCATCCGCAATCGCGGCACAGGGAACAGAATCAAGCGCGAAGGAAGCGCYGTTGCGACCGTGGCCAACCCATGACTTGCGCACAGCTTAACGAGCGGCTGAAYGATCCCGAGTGCGCAAGTAAGGTTTTCCAACCTAAGGCTGGAGAGGTGTAYCTTGTTTATTGCAAAGAGTCTCAGTGCTGGCTTGCCGCACTCCTTCTTCCGCTTACAGATTTGGAGAGCGTGGGTGTCTCAGCCTCTCTTCAAAGCTTGGGCCTCTCTCGCAAGGCGCC